AATCATTCTGTGAAGTTTCCAAAGCATTGTTCAAGGTGTTCATTAAACAATTGATGCAAAAAGAGTCTGAAAAATGGTTGAGCAACTATCCAAGAATGATACAGACTAAATAATTCATTAAGGAATCGTCGGATTTCACAAAATACCTACTGGATCCAAAACGACAAATCGTTAGGATAACATTAGATCAAAGAAGGTACATGAGTGTCATTAATTCATCAAAAGAAACAACATTGTGCAGGTTCTGTGACACGTCTTATGACAGTGTGAAGGCCTGGCTAGATTCAGGTTTGTAACACTAAGGGAAGAATCGTCAGACACATGTAATTACATGTAGTACCCATTGTTAAAGCTACTAAGTCTAATAAAAAAAAACAAGCTAGGCGACAAACTCCAAATAATGGAACGCTATAATATATCTGAAAAATTCGCGGTGGACAAGGACAAATAATATCCAACTCCTTTTAAATCTAATCTAATCTAGCAAAGCTGAGCGATTTGAAGTTTGGAAATTAAATAATTCGTAATTTATATTAAGTTTAAAGAGTGATGTCATGGAATTAATTATTTGTGGATTTTCAGAATTTTCAGTTGTGAAATTTAGGTAGACAACTCAGGTGGGATATTCAACGTAATATTAGATAGTAAATTAAACGTTTATTTTTAGAAGAGTTATAGCAGGAATGTGAGTTGAGCAATAACAGAGACTAAGAACAGGAAACCAGTCGCAAATAAACAAACCAGATAAAGTATATATTCAACATAATATTGGATAATAAATTAAACGTTTATTGTTAGAAAATTTTTAGCAGGAATATGAGCTAAGCAGAAGCATCGAATTAGAACGGGAAAGTAATAGTAAATAAACAGACCTGATAAGCAGAGTAATAAAGCACAACAAGGGAGACGAGAAGAGCAGCTGGAGCACAATAGAAAAAGGAGTGTTCTTTTTTTTTTTCAATATTTTTTTTGTAACTGATTTAATAGATTTTGAACTCGTCCCAGTTGGGCATTTTTTTGTTTGAAATATCGCCTACGGAGTACATTTTAATTTACAACACACATGGTTGAAACAATTGAAATATAAAATGATTAACAAAACAATGCTTAAAAAAGAAAATAACAAAGAAATTAAAAACTATAAATTTCGACTTATTAAATTAGCTAAAACTAGTTAGGTATTTAGGTACATATAGAGCTTTTCAAAAAAGTGTTCGCGTGTAGAATCCTCCTGTTTCGTTTCGTATATATAAAAAAAAGAATATTGTTACCCTGCACCCTGCAGTAGCCTGCGGCTGTTATAGGAAACGTACGAATACAAAAAAAGTGCAATGTCACCCTTGGCTCACAGTGTCGTCATAAGTAAAAGTACGAGTAAAAGAAGAAGATAGTAGTCCAGAAATATCTGGAAATGTCATTCCTTGTCAAAAAAAAATCTGGACAGTTCGAGAAAGGCCAATCAAGCTATATAAGTCGAAGATCCTGACGTCAATTTTTAGTTTTATGATAGATGTTATACGTTAATATTATTAGTTGCATAGTTATTGTAAACGTTGAGTTGAATTAAATTGAGATACCAAAAACCTGCGTAATAATTTTCCCAAAATCTAGAAAACACGAAAATGTTTGATATGAAATTTGAGCTATTAGAAACATCCAACCTCGGGCATATTCTGATATGTTTAACATCGAATGTAATTTGCAGGACCGCATTAGCTTTAATTCGTCAAAACAGTGGGCTGTTTCTTAAAGTAAAGAGGAACTTAAAAAAAGAATCCGGGTTGTATTCAAGCTGAAGATAACCATTTTAATTATTTTTTCTAATTTTTCAATTAATTTTGATGTACTATTTTATATTGTGAGAATAATTTACCCTATAAAACCTCAGAAATAATTTCTTAAATAAATAAAATAACAGAATATTTTTAAAATAGCAGCAAATTGGAAAAAATACAACGAGGCTATGTTTTAAAGTTTAAATGTTTAAATGTACTATGTTTTATTTTAAATTAATTCAAAAAATCATATTAGAATATACCCCCGGTTGCATATTTCTAGTTACCAAGATATCATATCGTTCTTTCTCATGGTTTTTTAGATTATGAGAAAAGTATCTTATTTTTTTAATTTTAAAACACTGCAGTTCCGACACGAAGTAGAATCGGAGTTGTTGATATATAAAAAAAAATGCGAAAAAGTTAACCTTTTTATATTTAGAGTACTTCTGGAACATTTCTAATTCTTTACGAGCCTTTAATTTTGGTCCGATTTTTGTAAAATTTTCAGGAAATACTAAAAATAACAAAACTTAGGGTGAAGGGACCTTAATTTTTTTGTAAAACTTCAAAAAGTAGGGTCAAGTGGTGTAAAAATGAGAAAAGACATATTTTGGGTAAAAATGAGACAGTCGATTTTTTACCGCTAAAAATAATTTGAATGAGATGCAGACAAGAAGTAATAAAGTCTACATATTGTAGATCCCAATTGCATATTTATTCAAACAACAATATTAACCTATACAAAAATAATTTAATACAACTAAATAAGTTTGTTGCCATGCCGGTGGTAATTCATCGCGCACGCTCGATCAAGGTCGCAGTTTGAAGACTGAGGTGTACAGGCGCTCTGGGAACAAGCCGAACAGTCTGCTGCTAAAAGTCATTGAGTAAATACGTGTTATTTTGCCGGGGTAAATTTAAGACGCCACTTTGGGTAAATGTGAGACGCTTCATGGGGTAAAAATAAGACATTTATATACCATTTCCATTATAGGTTCTGCAATACACAATGCCTAGAAATTACGTCCCAAAAGGCGAAGACCTAAAAATGGCGCTTACCTTAGTAAAGGAAGGTAAGTTGTCTATTTGATCCGCCAGAAGAAAATGGAACAGCTGGAAAAGTGTAGGAGAACGGCTACCGGTAAAACCTATGGAGCACTTGGAAGGGCTCAAATGATTTGGAAGGTACTTGCTGCGCCGTCTCTGATAAGGGCTGGACGACAATGGCTGTTTTTAATAGTTGGTTTTCCAAATTTTGTACGATGGTTTCAGAAAGGCCGCTATTAGTTATAATGGATGGACACGTCTTACACCTGGATAGAGGAACCATTGAACTTGCCGTGCAAAATAATATCACTTTGTTTAAATTACCACCTCACGCCACAGATATTTTGCAACCATTAGACAAGTGTTGCTTTGGACCACTAAAGCTTAAATGGAATCAAAAACTTACAGAGTGGCAGAGATTAAATCAGAGACGTCTCACCAAAAGCGATTTTGCTGATATGATCTGCGAGCAATGGAACGAAGGGATTACAGAGGCCGTAATAAATAAGTCTTTTGAATCAACTGGTATTTTTCCTTGCTCTAGGGAAAAATATCCAGTAGAACGATTCAATGCAATAAAGCTGCAAAAATATAACGAAAGTGTTCAAAACTCTTATTCTCTCGACATATACCAAATAAACCAAGAAGAGGAAAATGATGAACTTAAAGCAAACAATAGCCAACTGGAAATTGAGCTAAATAGACCAAACGAAGATAAGACTAACAAAACTGATTCATTTAAAAATAATAATGTTGAACCACAACCGTCTTCGTCTACTTCATTTGAGCATATTTTGCTTCAAAAAATCAACAAAACAAATCCTGAAATAAAACGAAGGCCCAAAATTAATTCCGGTTGTGCTGTTTTAACTAGCTCCGAATATTTAAATAGTATCAAGATAAAAGAATTGCCACAAAAAAAAAAACAAAGAAAAAAATTGCCGAGTCCTCTTCGGAAGTTGAAAGTATTTCTTATCAAGAAGAAAGCGACACTGAAAATATGACCTTACAAGAAGTATTAGAAGAAGAAATGGAAAAGCAGGAGATCAAAGAATTTAATTATTTAACAGCGGAAATAAAAATTGGGGACTATATTTTGGTAAAGTTTTGTGCAAAAAAAAAAGAAGTTACGCTAGTAGAATCAGTTATAGAAGATGGGTTTTATGTATCTTATTTGCGCCGAAAAGGTGAAACATTTATATTCCCCCAAATTTAATTTGCGAACATTGATTTGTGTTGTTTTAATTGTATTTTACATACGGTGTTCCTATTAAAAATTTGGCGTAGGGGGTAAAAATGACCCAAAAAGTGTTCTGTAATATTATTTTTAAATTTTTACTGCATTTTTCAAATAAAATTAAGAAAACCCATATAAATGGGTGATTCATTTTTCGACCATGGTGTCTTAGTATTGCTCCAGACCACCGTTGTCACTATAAATGCCTGAAACTGTTATGTCTCATTTTTACCCACCCACTGTCTCATATTTACCCAAAGTGGCAGGTAAAAATGAGACAAGGGTATTATTATTTGTCTCAAAACCCATAATAATTTCCTTGAATTTCTCGTTTTTGTGTTATTCTGCATCAAAACTTTCATAGTATGGCAATTTTTGAAAATTTATTTTAAAAAGATACCAGTTCATAAAAGTTTCATAAAATGTCTCATTTTTACACCACTTGACCCTATTTATTTTGATAATTTTTAAGAGGAATAAAGAACATCTACGCGCTATTCTGTATTAAATCTATGAAAATTTGTTGCATTTTGTTTTAATAAATATTAAGTAGTTTCTAAATGCGAAGATTTTACACATTTTTTCTTAAATGTCTCTGTAGAGTGCTTCCTTATCGTTGCACACTTTTAAATCTCTTACTATTCTCGAGACACATAATATCGCGAATTATTTCCAGTAATGCGCATATAAATACAATTTTATATTAGAACATTTCAATATTGTTTTAACAATAGACCCATCTGGGTCGTAGTGGAAAGCGATTAGATCATCTTACTTCTTTTTGACCTATCATAATCGTAAGTCTTTGACAGTATATCTTATTTTATAGAAAATACTAAAGCAGCTTGTCTTTTAAAAAGTCAATTTTTAGATGTTCCAAATAATCTCATGACATGATTAAATCTAATTGAAAAAAATACATATTTTGCCTAACTGACCTAGTTTTTGATCATTCTGCAAGAATTTATCACCAACAGTAAGTAACGTTGCAGCTGTTTTACTATGAAATTTTCCATTTGGATCATGGTGACTCATCATAATTCTTTCGTAAACTCCTCTAAAAAACGATTGTATTTTTATAGCAGACTGGTGCATAATTCTGACAAACATCATTTCTTCTTCTTCTATTCGATAACACAATTGAGAAACGTCGTACAAGTCGCACCGATTTGTTGATAAAAACTGCCATTTTTTGAATAGAATCTTTAATACCTAGAATTGTAAAATAAATAATAAAGATTAAGTTCATTTATATATTTGTGTTTCAATAATGTTTCTGAAGTCTATATAGATATGCTTATCACTGAACTCTATACTGTTACAATGGAACGCTATTCCTAATACTAAAAAGCGTGCCGTTTTGATTTCGCGCAGTACGTCACTTTAAGGTTAATATTCATGCTCAAATTAACTCAAATTAAATTAAATTAACTCAAATTAACTCAAATTAACTCAAATTAAATCAAATTAACTCAAATTAACTCAAATTAACTCAAATTATTTCAAGTTATTTCAAATTAACTCAAATTAACTCAAATTAACTCAAATTAACTCAAATTAACTCAAATTAACTCAAATTAACTCAAATTAACTCAAATTAACTCAAATTAACTCAAATTAACTCAAATTAACTCAAATTAACTCAAATTAACTTAAATTAACTTAAATTAACTCAAATTAACTCAAATTAACTCAAATTAACTCAAATTAATTCAAATTAACTCAAATTAACTCAAATTAACTCAAATTAACTCAAATTAACTCAAATTAACTCAAATTAACTCAAATTAACTCAAATTAACTCAAATTAACTCAAATTAACTCAAATTAACTCAAATTAACTCAAATTAACTCAAATTAACTCAAATTAACTCAAATTAACTCAAATTAACTCAAATTAACTCAAATTAACTCAAATTAACTCAAATTAACTCAAATTAACTCAAATTAACTCAAATTAACTCAAATTAACTCAAATTAACTCAAATTAACTCAAATTAACTCAAATTAACTCAAATTAACTCAAATTAACTCAAATTAACTCAAATTAACTCAAATTAACTCAAATTAACTCAAATTAACTCAAATTAACTCAAATTAACTCAAATTAACGCAAATTAACTCAAATTAACTCAAATTAACTCAAATTTACTCAAATTAACTTAAATTGTCTTAAATTAACCTAAATCAATTTGCAATAACTTAATTTTACTAGAAAAGCTCAAATTAACTTTAAGTAACTCCAATTAACTATTATTAAATCTAATTACCTTTAAAATGTTTCAAATAACTCTGATTGCCTCTAATGACTTCTTATAATATCGTAATACTTTTAATTACCTCTAATTACATCTAATTACATCTAATTACATCTAGTTACATCTAATTACATCTAATTACATCTAATTACATCTAATTGTATCTAATTACCTTGAATCGCACATTTACATTACCTCGAATCACAATTAAATAATTATCTCTAATTGTTCTTCTAATTACTTCTATAATTACCATGAAATTACCTATTAATGTCCTTAAATTAGATTTAAATTACTTAAATTGATTACCCTTAAAGCACATTTAATTATCTCTTAAAACATCTAGATATCTCTAATTACCCCGATTGGTATCATTGATTAAAACAAATTATTTTTAACTAATTATTTTTGTTCATCTCTACCTTTACTATCTTCTATTATATTTATTTACCCTTAATTGCGTCTAATTTACTAACAATTCCTTTGATTGGTACAAGGTTTCTTTAATATTTACTACCTTCTACATTCAACTATTTCTAGTTTTCTTGATTTGGCTGTGTTTTTCTATAAATATCTCTGTTTACTTCTAATTACATCTTATTATGGAAACTATATATTTTTACTCTAAAATATTTAATTACTCACTGCCTTTTGTACAAATGCGTTTGCATTATCTTAAAATAATATAGAAAAAGACAAACATGATCTTGATTCTACAGTAATTTGTGATTTTTATCTCTACTATACTATTTGTTCAGTAAATAAATGTAAAAGTTGTTTACACAGCGTTCAAAATAGTAGAAGAAAACACATTTATAAATTACTTTGATATACATCTTCTCCTTCATCACTGCACTTTATGTCTGTTTATGAAACTGAATGCATAAATAATTATTTCTCTCGTGTATTGAATTTTTCAGCAATATTTTGTACTGATTTCGCTGAGAATATATTTATATTGTTACCAAGCACATCCAAAATATAAGTAACCAAACGGATTTGACAAGCAATACTAGGTAGCTAAAAGATACTTCCCATTACTATTGCGTTCTCTTAAGAACATGCTTTAACAAGCTCCTTTTATCTCAATTATCAAATTTATATTAAAGGAAATGAGTTTGAATATGAGATATTTTTCTAAAATATTAAGATTAGTTTACAATTAGCTTTAATAATGACTACCTTTCTAATAGAAATAAGCAAAACCCAAAGTAATTAGGGGGGAACTAGAGCGCAAATAATATCAAAGTATGACAAATCGCCAAAAACTTTGACTTTCCAGATTTTAATGTGCAAAAGCCTTCTTTGTAAAGTGATTGTAGAAAAATGTTTTGTACAATACCCTAAGAGATTCAGTTCCAAGAGCCTGACTGACTGCCTCAAAAAATTCCTTAAAGAAAATTTCTTCCACTGCTATCCATTCTTTTTTAGCGATATTACAGGTAGGTTTGAAACATTTGTAAAATTCATTTAAATCTGTCATATAATTCGTTGTTCCAAATGCTCGGATCAGTACTTGAAGGTTTTCCACCATGCTAGAGTAGGCTTCTCTAAATAAAAGGGAATCTCTACCTATTAAAGAACAAAAAATTTACAAATTAATTAATATATACGTCTATTGGTTTGTTTCATAGTTATGACCATAATTTAAAAGACAGTTGCAGCGCGTTGAGCATCTATCAACTAGTAAGTACCGTTTCAATACCAATTGTTATACCAGATCTATCATTAGAAAGATGTTTCCCATCTGTTATTTATATTAAATTATAGTTAACATAAAAGTTATCATAAAATCCATTAAGTCATAATAACCTTGTTATCAATCTGACCCTATACCCTCTGGTAGTAAAATTAATTTTTAAAATGAAGTGCCTTTAAAAAAATATGGGTTGTTAATTGTTTGCTTGACTATATTACCAATTCGCCAGCTTCAAACAGATAAGTGCGCAAAGGAAATTTCCCTTATGCTATTTAAATAAATCAAAGCTTAAATTCTCTTCACCATAGTGTTGGGTTGCCCAGGAACAACTTGAACACACTTACGTTTGCCGCTGTTTTGAATGCGAGACAGAGAAAGAACGCGCGGGCTACTATAGACGACAGAAAAAATACCCACAGTGGCCGTGTCCTGGATGTTTACATGATGGTCATTAAGGTGCTTCAAAAAAATTTTTTATTCGCTTTTACCCTCTCAAATGTTTCCATTTAATATAAAAAAAATCCTCACCAAATATGGGCGTTCCAGCTCTAAGAGGTCGCTGTTTTTATTTTAGTTTCCCATTTGATTAACATGGGGAAAATAATTTAATGTTTGGAATTTTATACCTTTGTATCAAAGTAACTTATGGCAATGATCATTGCAGTTTCTTATATAAAATTTAACGCTCTACAAAAAAGGGCCCTTATGAATTTTTGATAAATTGATTTCTTCTAGCAAAATGGGGTACATAAAAAATTTCGTAAAAAAATTTGTTTTTTTAATAATTGTTTTTTTCGGATTCTTAATCATTTGAAAATATATTGACTCACAAGCTTACGCCTGTAATCGAAAAAAATTACTCTGAGTCTGTAGAGCAAGAAAAAAAGGTAAAAATTTGGAATTTTATGGCAAACTAAGGTGCTTTTTTAACTCTTACCTTCCTAAATGTTGGTGATTGATAGAAAAAAACAGGCACTGTATAGCTTAACTCTAAGGGGTCATTTGTAGAGAACGCATTGCTTCCATGATTATTATTCTGTGAGTTGCAATAAATGCAATAAAAAAATATTCTTTCAAATCGTTTTTTCAATAATAATTTATTTACTTTCATTAAGGGCAACTTTCTAACAATCAGGATACTGTTGTCTATGAGAATTAAATGGGAAACTAAAATAAAAACAGCGACCTCTTAGAGATGAGCTGGAACGCCCATATTTGGTAAGGATTTTTTATATTAACGAGTAAAGGCGAAAAAAAGTTTTTTTGAAGCACTCTAATGGTCATCCTATTATAATTAAGCTTGCATAAGAAATGTTCTTACTCATTAACGTTAACGTTTCTTCGAGAGTTCCTACGCAAAGGCAGCTATCAGAAATGATTTGTATTGAATAAGGACCTTCTACTTCAATCCACATGGTAAATGTATATCTTCCCGGTGGAAGTTTTAGAACAATACTTCCTGTACCGAAGGTTGTTAATGATGTGACAAACTCATCGAGTCGATTGGAGTTCCATCTAAACTTTGACACTATTACAGATGCTTTTGGGTAATCATGCTTAATATTTCGAATCATCTGAGAAATAAAGAAATCAGGCTGTCAAAAATATACTGGAATAATAGTATATTTTATAAATACGTTGTGAAGTGAGCTATTATTTACCGAGCACTTTAAAGTGTTTACAGCACCACATGAAAATAAATGCATTCCTCAACAGCACTATTTTTAATATAATCCATAAATTTAAGATCCTAATGTCTTGTTAATGATTTTTACAAATTTTCCAAAATTAGTAGTGGCTAAAATGCCTCGTTAAGTGCTATCTTCTGGTGTAAACTGGTGCAAACTAGTGTAAATCATTTCTGGAAACGAATGATGACTGATAGTGTATGATACGATAGTTACAGTCGCGTTACAACAGAAGAAAGCACTTAAGGTGATTACAGCACCCCCTTATAATTTTCAGACAAGGATATCTCAAAAAGTAATTTTTTAAAAAAATTAAAATTTTTGCAAAATATATTAGGCAATAATATCTAAAATATGCATATATTTTAAAAATTTAATTCCTTTCAGTTTCCGAGAAAAAAAATCAAAGAGCTTTAAATTTTGAAATATCATAATGAAAATAAATGCATTCCTCAACAGCACTATTCTTAATATAATCTCCAAATTTAAGCTCTTAATCTCTTGTTAATGATTTTTTAAAATTCGCCGAAATTAGTGGCTAAAACGCCTCGTTAAGTGCTTCTTTCTAGTGTAACGCGTCTGTAACTATCGTTTCGTACACTCTGAGTCATCATTCGTTTCTTGCAACGATTTACACCAGTTTACACCAGTTTAAACCAGAAAATAGCACTTAACGAGGCGTTTTAGCCACTAATTTCGGCGAATTAAAAAAAATCATTAACAAGAGATTAAGAGCTTAAATTTGGGGATTGTATTAAGAATAGTGCTGTTGAGGAATGCATTTATTTTCATTATGATATTTCAAAATTTAAAGCCCTTTGATTTTTTTTCTCGGAAACTGGAAGGAATTAAAACTTTAAAAAATATGCATATTCTAGATATTATTGCCTTATTTATTTTGCCCAAATTTAAGTTTTCTAAAAACATTATTTTTTGAGATATCCTTGTCCGAAAATTATAAGGGGGTGCTGTAATCACCTTAACGAGGCCTTTTAGCCACTAATTTTGGCGTATTTTAAAAAATCATTAACAAGACATTAATAGCTCAAATTTGGGGATTAAATTAGGAATAGTGCTGTTGAGAAATGCATTTATTCTCATTATGATATTTCAAAATTTAAAGCCCTTTGATTATTTTTTCTCGGAAACTAGAAAGAATTAAACTTTAAATAATATGCATATTCTAGATATTATTGCCTAATATATTTTGCCAAAATTTTAATTAAAAAAAAAAATTACTTTATGAGATATCCTTGTCCGAAAATTATAAGGGGGTGCTCTAATCACCTTAATGTGCGATGTCTCTAATGGCTTTCTAAACCAAAGTTTACATATAATTTTTTTTTACTACTAACACTGATTTTAAGGGTGAATCCTAAGTTGATACCTTTTTAACTATATATAAAAGTCCTTAAAATCTCTTTTCAATAACTTTTTTCAAAAAACCAAAATATAATGAAGATAAATTATTAAAAAATTAAATATGACCCTGGAATTCTGCTTCAAAAATTAAGTTAAATGAGGTTTACGTGTTTATCGGTTTTACCTTTTTTTTTTAAGTCATGACCAGCTGTTATCGTAATCAAGTTGTCTGAGTAATTTTAATAGATTCATCTCCCGATCGTATCCTAGTCCTACAAATTTTATTATTCTTACTCAACGGGCTATAAGGATACGAATAATTTCCAAAAACATCGTGAAGGATATGTAGTATGACATGAAGTTCGTTTGTGTTAAGGTGGATGGATGATATGGGATATATTTTAAAATAAATAATTTTAAGTTCCATATCTTTGATTTTTTGAAACAGTTATTTAAAAAAGTTGTTTATATTATACAGTTCAAAAAAGTATCATCTTAAAATTCACCCTGTATATTTGATTTGATAAGATTTTGATATTAGCTATAGATTTTTTTTACTACTAACATTGATTTATTACCATAGATTTTGATATTTGTAATTTCACGCTTATTTTTTAAATGTTTTGAAATATTATACAGCCTGCGAGTTTTTCCAGAAAATAGACGCTATCTAAAAGTTCTAGGTAAAACGACTGATTAAAATTGGAAAATTGATGAACATTTTGATATGCAAGTGTGTACCCCCACCTAAAGTAATAGAGACGATAACTAGGTAAATTAGCAATTTTTTGCCAGAAAAAACGAAGAGACTGTACATGCAACTGTTTAAAAAACAATACCTTTTGTCAGGGAATTTCTTGCTACAGAGAATACGGTTCCTTACGAGTGACGCTTTTTACGGATGACTCCTGGGCGCATGATTATGTACATATATGGTTTACTGCACAAAATCTCGAAGCTGCGTTGAAATTGCTCTAGCAGCTACAGATGGAGACGAAAAATTTCAAGAAACAAAGATCACTGCCGCAATCAATGGGCTTTAATAATTGCTTACACTCATAAAGAATTTCTCACTGGCTGAAAAATAAGGTAAAGGCACGTTTTGCTCGACAAGTATTATTTTTCCCAGCTAATCTGATTCCCAATTGAAGAAAGTTACTGCACATAATGCAAAAATAAATTTAAATTAAAACAAAATTTGAAATACAGATCCGGCAATTGTCTAGGAATATAGTAGTGAAAAATGACTTTATTATACTTCAGAACTCGGGACTTCTCAACTGGAAACTCTACTCTTTTGTAGGCTAAAAATTTACTAACCGGGCAACTGGTAACTTTTTTAAGGCGTCATTATTAAAAGGATAAGCATAGGAGAGTTATTCATGGATGATCCAGGAAATGAACCGATGCGTATTTGAAAATTTAATTTTTATACAAAGAAATGTCATATTTTCATGAAGTAGCGGAAAAAAGGAAATTCGTTATTTTATTACAAAAATTATGTTCATTAAAATAATTGTAATATTTATTAAAATAAACATATATACACAAATTTTAAAGCATAAATAATATTGTGTCATAATTTAATAAAAGATTAATCAATAATTGACATTCCAGACTTCCCTTTTAAAATGATACCACCACTTAATAATGTAAGAATCAAATACTTTTGATAAAAACAATGTCCTAAAAGTTGTATTCTGGTACATAAAATTATTTAAATACAGTAACCCAACACAAAGAATGTAGCACCGACACTTAACGTTGAAATACCGATACCCGAGAGGTTAATTACTCCCGAAATACTGGTACGTTTTCACTCGAAATCACTACCAATTTTCTCGAAATTTTCGAAATCATCATCGAAAATCATGGTCGATATCATCATTGAAACCGCTTCAAAATCAATTTGTCGCTTGTGGATCAAAAGACAAGAGGAAGTGCCCAAAAAAGGTCATTGTATTAAATTAATAAAATTTGGGGTGTTTCTTTAGCGAAATCACCAAAATCATATAAATTTTTAGGTGATTTCTAAAATACAAGGTGGTGCAAAATAAAGTCCCCTATTTTATATAAAAGTAAGATTAATTAAAAAAGAGTCATATTATATATAAAAAATATTTATTTAAACTCTAAAAATTTGTTTTGTTACACACTTAAAACAACATCGACCAAATGGCCACCCCCAGCATTAATGCAAAAATGAGCTCTTTTCAAAGCTTTTTTCATAACTTTCTCCAACATTTCAGGTGGTATTCTGACAATTTCTTCCCGGATGTTGTCTTTTAATGCACGGTCATTTTTGGCTCATGTAACGGTTGCTGGTGAATAACTTGTGGATGCTCTTTACCCCAGAAATGATGGTTCTGTTTATTCACAGCCAAAATGTCTTTGCAGTTGGAACACCGCGTCTTCCATATTTTCTAAGCTATTCTCGTTGAGCTAGAATAATCGACGAAATATTTTGATGAAAAAATTTTACGATTTCGGCACGTTCTCGAGGCGTATATCGATTCATAATGAATTTCCCAAGTATCTACTTTGCAACTAACTGAAAAACTCGAACAGATGTCAACTACAAACGAAACCATAACAACATTCCATAGGGTACTTGATTTTGCGCCACCTTGTACATGTACGTAGTGACCTTACCCTTACCCTATACTTTGCGACGGCCAAATAAAAATAATACGAACTACGAAATGTGGCAATATTAACATTTCAAAGTTTTTTAGATTTCCCTCGCCTGTCAGATTTGAAATTTTAACCAATCACATCGCAATTTACGTTATCGTTAGAGCCAATCAGAAACAAAGAAAACCGACTATTTTCACTGACTATTTGAAATAGACTATCCATGCATGGTGCTCGATATTCACTTATGTTGACAGCAACTGGCATACTTGATTGTAGGTGTAATATTAAAAGTGGTTACTGTTAAATAATATTAAGTGTCAGACTAAAAATTAATATATTAGTGAAACGTTTAAAATGAACCGATTTAGGTGTGTTAATAGCGAAAAAATAGACAGTCTTATAGACAATAGTATCCCGAATAATACAATCAAAAGTAAAAATAGCGTGTGAAATCAGTTTAGAAAATTTTGCGTTCAGCGCAAATATGTTTTATCAAATGATAAAACTGTTGCTGAACTATGTAATATCTTAAAAGATTAGACTTGGAACATAAAAACAGAAGACGGAAGCGACTACAAAGAGTATTCTTTAAAGTGTATGTGTAACTCAACTGCTAAGACATTACAAGAAATTTAATATAAAGATAGATCTATTTCAAGGTATTCAATTTAAAAGTGCTCGCGATGCACGAAATGCAAAAAGACGGGAATTGCAGGAACTTTCAGAGAAAAGGAAACAAAGTTCTACAGCTCTAAGTTTACAAGTATTAGAAATTTAAAAAAACCGACTTTAAAAACGTGCAGATGCCATCACCACATCTTAACCAAATTTATATGGGACCACCCCTGAGGTACCCCCTTACTAACAAAAAAATAATCATATAAATCGGACAAGGTGGTAAAGCATTATCGCTAAACATACATAAAAAATGAAGAGTTTGAGGATTTTCTCTTGGACCCAATTCTTAGATTTTGACTAAATTTATATGGGACCACCCCTAAAGTACCCCCTTTCTAACAAAAAAGAATCATATAAATCGGACAAGGTGGTAAAGCATTATCGCTAAACATACATAAAAAATGAAGAGTTTGAGGATTTTCTCATGGACCCTATTATTAGATTTTGAATAAATTTATATGGGACCACCCCTGAAGTACCCCCTTTCTAACAAAAAAAGAATCATTGAAATCGGACACCGTGTTAAAGAATAATCGCTGAACATACATTAAAAAAAAAAAAAAATATCGCGACGAATTGATAACCTCCTCCTTTTTTGAAGTCGGTTATAAACATAAACACGATTTATTGGCAAATTGGAACAGACTACAGACGGTCTCCAAAAGATTTTCTATTATTTGGCTTCCGTGGAATTAGCTTGGCGCGGTGGGGAAGTCGCAACATGTTTAACAGAATATTTTAAATTTAAAACCTCTGAAGATGGTAAAGAAACAGGTATGTTAGAATATAATCCTATTTTTACGAAAATTTGCCAAGGAGGAGACAAAAAATGTGCAGATAGTAAGTGGTTGATTCCAAATACTTAAATTCCGCAATACTGCCCAGTTAGATTATTCAAAAAATTGATTGGAAAACGCGGTCCACTTTCTAAAAAAATTATCCTAAGTTCAGCTCCGAAAATTAATAGGTACCGATTTTGCTTAAATAGTGGAGAAAAGACATTCCTATAGCAAAAATCAAGGGCGCTAATGGCGTTTTATAAAAGGCTTTGAGCTCATTATGAAACCCAAGTTTAAAACCCCATTTATAAACAAATAATTTTCTATTCTGTAATGTGCAAATAAAAGGAAAGAGTGCCACCCTTGGCAACGTTGTAATTTTATGGGTTGTCATCAAAATAAGTGATCTGTCTGTGGTTGTCAATTTCATTGCGAATGCGAATCAAACACATACTTTGATTTTCTTTTACTATACGGAGAATGGTCGCACTGCGCAGCTTTCTGAGTGCCTTTTAAAAGGAGATAGAAAACTCCACCATTTTGAACCCTTATTACGTGTTGCCTACATCTTGGCGCAATATTTTTAATAGGTGCGTTTTGATCATCCGCTTCTGCTTCGAAATTGTCGGTTTTCTTGTTTTAATCTGACAGGTTAAAACGACTAAACCGACAATTCCGGAAGCAAAAGCGGATGATTAAAACGCACCTGATATTTTGCTTGCTGCTGTCAGTGTCAGTGAATATTATTTTTGAAGTCACAGTTTATTGCAAAAGAATCAGTTAGCTCACTCGGACCAGTTGAAAGTTCCAAAATAACATCCACTCCAGGGATACAAATTCAGGATACGTAGAAGACTGCTGTTTTATTATAGGCGGTTGTCATATATTGTATTATCTGAGTTGTGCAGTGTATAAACTGGAACATTGAGATAAAAAGTGCCGACGCAGAGTGAGCGATCTGATTCTTTAGCTATAAACTGTGTCATAGGGTTCAAAAGGGCCGCGTCCTATGTTGGGCGTGTCTGACCTCTCTCTTGCCCCGTATAGTAATCAAAGTATGTGGAATAAAACACATACTTTGATTTTCTTTTACAAGTATGTGGAATCAAATAACAAATACATGTTAGGTCTTTTCCTTTGCATCGAAAGTGTAGCACTGAGCTACGTCACTTCTGAAAATATCGTTCCATCCATACAATTTGTAGGTATATATGAAACGATATTTTCAGAATTGGTGTAGCCCAGTGCTACACTTTCGATGCAAAGGAAAAGACCTATTTATTAGTAAATTAGGCATTCCAAACAAATGAAGCGCGGTTCTAAGGTTTGGAATCTCTAAAGGGTTGCGACATACGATGTAGTCTATTTACAATACGTGAAATCAAAATTAATGAATTAAATTTAAATATTTTATGTCAAGCACAATGAAAATATTATTTTTATAGAAACCGTTTATGCATTTTCTATAAATTGGCAGGCTTGGCGATTACTATTTCAAATAGAAATAGCGTCCAAGATTAAAGGCTACGTCGCAATCCCCTTAGATTTATGAGCCCTTCCAACTGACAACTATTGTATGACAGGTCTTTGGAATATCTAATTGTGTGAGAATAACACATACTTTGATTTTATTTTACTATACGGATAATGGTCGCACTGCGCAGCTTTCTGAGTGCCTTTTAAAGGAAGATCGAAAACTCCGCCATTTTGAACCTTTATTACGTGTTGCCTACATCTTGGCGCAATATTTTTAATAGGTGCGTTTTAATCATCCGCTTTGCTTCGGAATTGTCGGTTTTCTTGTTTTAATCTGACAGGTTAGAACGACTGAACCGACAATTCCGGAAGCAGAAGCGGATGATTAAAACGCACCTGATATTTTGCTTGCTGCTGTCAGTGTCAATGAATATTATTTTTGGAGTCACAGTTTATTGCTAAAGAATCAGTTAGCTCACTCGGACCAGTTGAAAGTTCCAAAATAACATCCACTCCAGGGATACAAATTCAGGATACGCAGAAGACTGCTGTTTTATTATAGGCGGTTGTCATATATTGTATTATCTGAGTTGTGCAGTGTATAAACTGGAACATTGAGATAAAAAGTGCCGACGCAGAGTGAGCGATCTGATTCTTTAGCTATAAACTGTGTCATAGGATTCAAAATGGCCGCGCCCTATGTTGAGCGTGTCTGACCTCTCTCTTGCCCCGTATAGTAATCAAAGTATGTGGCGAATAATCACTGTGACTTTAATAAATCGAAAAAGAAGTGGTTTTTATTATGGGTCGAGTACAAATAAAAAAACAGCAAAAGATTGGTTGGATTACGTCACGTTTTGTGTTGTACAAGTCTTAAACTTGTACGATTATATATATTAAGCGTTTAGATGCCGCATAATTAGGTTATAATTGGACGAAGACTGTTCAATACAGTATCTCTTAAATTTCCAAAATAAAAACTAAAACAAATAATATATTTAACTACATACACTTTTCTATTTATGAATGTGTGAAGGCTATACAATAAAGTAATTATAATTAAAATAAGCTCAAAAAACTAGAAACCGTGTTAAACTTATTAAATAAAAACCGATTATATATAGAAATCTAATTTTGTTAGTCATCAACGGCCGAAAATGGTACGTCTAGATGTTCTTATACGAGAATTGGTAGACTATGCAACCACAAATGCACAGAAATGTATTTCAGGCTGCCTAGCAATTTCTTTAAAGGGGGGGGGGGGGTTATGGCGAAGACGTAAGGGACGAGGATTTTGAGGTTGTGTATGAAATTAACGGAGCTGATGGGTATAGAACCCTCTTAAATTCATAAAGTTATTTCGGTTTGAACTATGTTTGCTGTATACATATGTATATGGGCGATTCTTCCAGAAACGTTTATAGTTTAATAATTATAATTTTCATTTTTGTAATAATATATATTATACAGCGTGTTCCATAAAGTTGAATCCATAAGGGAATTTCTTTAATATTACGAATGATTTCACCTCGGCTTTTTTAATATCTTAAAATAGGCCTTACTACTACTTACTACTACTTATCTGTAACTTTTAATTTGCACAAGAAATATTAAAAATAAAACAGATAGGAGATCTACTTGTACACTATTTTAAAAAATGTTCAAAATATTGTTCTGTAAACAGTAATAGAGTCTGTTTACGAACATTTCGGAAAACTTCACTGGAAATTGACCAGCATGCTGTTGTAATTTGCCTTTTAAGATCATCAATATCAGCAGGTTGTGTTTCATAAACAACGGATTTAAAGTTTTCCCAGGGAGTTAAAGCAGATGATTTTGTTCACTTTCTGCCAATCCAATTCTCTGGGAACTAATTTTAAATAAAGTGAAATTATTTTAAACAATTTTTAAAAAATTTCTTATACACACTTTAAATACAAAATCTTTCATTTTGTTTTATTTTACATATTGTCTGGACATTTTGTATGTGGGGACTGATACCTCGTTTACTGCATTGAATATTTTTTTTTAAGTTTACAGAATAAAATAATTGCATTTAAATAATAAAAATTTTTATAGTTAGCACACAGACTCGTTTCTGGTAGAATCATCCATAAATAATTTGAGAACCATAAAAAATAACCTTAATTATGCTTTTTCTTTCTTCTGGTTTGATTTCACTTCTAGCGTAATATTTCTTCACTCTTTCCAAAAACGTGCTTGCACACAATCCACACTCGGACAGTGTACTATCAGGAATATTAACTTTTTCTACAATACGTTCTGTAATGGTTCCTAAATACCCAGTTTGGTTTAAATTAATAACAATGCTCTGGTTAAATAGACAATCGCAGAAAATGTAAATGGGTTCATTTCTATGATTTTGTATAGATATGGGTCTTATGATCTCTTTCCAGTTTAAGTCCAATATGTCGACTAATGATTTACAATAAGGATATTTTAGTTCTTTGGCGATATTTTCGCAACTCAAATTCGATATTCTGCTCTTCGATGTGTAAGTGGAGGGCATATAATAAATTATGACGTATTTCAAGAGTTTCTCGATATATTCAAGGTCTAACCAGTCGGTTACATCTTTGTACAAGTTTGGATTGATTATTGGTTTCTGTTTCTTGCCTGCTGTGTTAGATATGGTTTCCTCTGAAAAACATTGATGAAATCACTAACAATACTAATAATAACACGCGAAATACGTATATTAAAAGTGATATATTTAAAGTTATTTTAAGAAAAAGCAGCTGCCGAGTTCAGAAATTGTCACAGGAGTAAAAAGGGGAGATACCAATTCATTATTAAGAATGATTTCGTGGGGGGAGAATTTAAAAAAAACTTACAGAGGTATGATACTTGGGCGACGAAATCTCGTCGAGTTCGCGCATGACATATTATGGTGTAGAATATGACTGATTGGCCAAGAGCAGAGTAAAATTTATTTTTTAGCGCTCTTTACTATCATCCGATAGCGCAAATTCCTAAAAACCACCCTTTCCCATCAAAATATGTCACTGTGCCGTAAATTGGTGTAATATCATACCTTTTTTTATAGTATCATAAGTACAAGCCGCAAATTTTCAGATGATTGGTGGATCCTTAACGACGCGAATAGCCACCTTGCTTTCGGTTTTGCGTCCTAACTAGAATCAATTTCTCACCGCACCGAACAACAACTCACCATCAACAACAACTTGAGAATTCGGCGTGCATCGCTATGTTGAAATTTGCTCTTTTACTTATTCAATGCCTAAAGTATGTGATCAATTTTCTTAGTTATTTTAACTGTAATAAGTATATAAGTGTAATACAGTTCAGTTCAGATATACGAGGGATGTTTCCAAAGTTCTAAGAATTGTGCTATAATTAAATTACACAGACTTTATAGGGAATGTTACTGATTTCAGATGTCTTGACATGTTTATGCAACAGTTTTTCTTTCAGTTTTTCTATCCGTTGTTATATTTTTATTTATTGCTTGTTTTATGGTCATCCGTTTTAGTGTATGGATGTACGGAAGAGGACAGGTGAATGACTATTCGTCAAATTAGTATACGCCTAGGGATAGGTACACGACAAGTTCATGACATCTTGCATGATTGTTTGAGCGTTAGCAAGGTTTCGGCACGCTGGGTGCCAAGGCTGTTGGGACCAGAACAGAAACTATATAGGTGTGATAATTATTGTCGTCAACTTCAAGAGCTGTTAGTCCGTTACGGTAATAAATATTGGCAACGAATAACGAAAGGTGGATTTCTTATCCTGAGACCAAATGCCAACCCAAAGAATGGTGCAAATCTGAAGGCGTGTGCAGGCTCGTCTCTTGGAAAGGTAATGCCTACTGTATTCTGGGATTGCGAAGGGACTATTTTTATGGATTATCTGGCGAAAGGTACTACAATTAATGCAGAACATTAGTAGAATTTATTATTCGGACCACTACGACAGGTACTTGTCAAAAAACAGCCTGGAAAGTTGCATAAGCGTGCGTTATTGCAACAGAATAATGCAAGGCCACACACCTCAAGAAAAACAAAGGATGTTTTGAACGAATTACGATGGGAATTGCTTCTTTACCCACCTTATTCCTCGGGATCTTGCACCCATTAATTATCATCTGTTCCCAGATTTGAAAACCTTAGATTTGAAAGTTTAACTGACGTAAAACGTGCCATAAGTAGGTGGATTAAGGAGACACCAAAAAAGTTCTTCAAGGACGGTTTAAAAAAATATTTTATCGTTGCGATAAATATCTTCAGTTAAGTAGAGCTTATGTTGAAAAACTACATTGTAATATTGACAAAAATTAACAAAATAATAAAAATTATATCTAAATTCTCAAAACTTTGGAAAAATTTCTCGTAAAAATTATAGTACTCGATTCAAGAATACTAGGAGTTTTTAGTGATGCGATGATTTTATTTCGTTATCACAAAAAAGCAGTGTAATTTTCTGTTAGAGTAATTTTTTATAATGCAGGAGAATAACACATTTTTTCCAGAGCATCCTTGATTAAGCTTTATAATTGTGATTGTTAACGAAAAAAATCTAGACAATTTAAATTTAGATATAATATGTGGTTAATTTTTGTTTTGGAAGAAGGAGGAGAATTGGCACATACGAATTGTTTGACTGAGATGTTAACTCCATCAAAGTCTCTCCAATGTAATTGAGCTATACCCGTGTGTACTTTTACCCAAATAAAGGTTATGGTGCATTAATTTCTTTGAAAACGATTAGGTGTATGAAAAATATCTTCAATTACAGGATTTTTATTTATAGGAGTACAATTGGAAATTGCAAGTAGAGCCGATTTTCAATCTGACAAAATGACCCAATTGTTATTTCTGTCCTTTGTAACCCATGTTATCTTGAGAGTGGGGTGTTAATACACTACAACCTAAAAAATCTATTGTGTCTCCTTCCATCGCTAATGTAGCAACGACATATCTCAATGCCTATAACGATTATTCCAATCCTATCTACTTAATTAGAGTAGTGGCTTCAAGTTAGGTAATACTCCTTATTTCTATGCTCCCAAGTATGGTCCGCTTGGATTCTGATGTGCTACACATTCAGTCAGAATGCAAATAGAGGTTTTATCCTTCTGACCTAATCAGCACTCACTATCTTCCACTACTCTCAGTTTACTAAGGAATCCTTTGAGTAGCCTGTTCTTGCTCATGCAGATACAGACTTTCGATGTTTTCTGATTATATTCATTCAGCCTATCTTAGCCTCAAAATATTGTTCCAATTATCAGTTTTTCTTCTGCCCAATTCTTTTTTATTCTCACCTAATATTTTGTTACTGCTGATACCTTAGAACGGCTCAGGTCTCACAAAAAGTGTTTGAGCCCCTTTCCTTGCGACGCTGCAATCTTGTTACCCTTTTTACCCCGTTAGATTCCAAGACCCAAGTAAGAGTTTGTAACCTATAATAGTGTCCAAAGGATCACATATGCCTCCTCTGTAAAAACGAATGATTAATTATTGATTTGGAATTGGGAGAGTAAATTACTAATTTTAAACATAGAAGGTTCAACTTGTACTCTAATCACTTTCGGATCCGTTGCAGTATATTGTGTTAATTTATCTTATTTCTCAGTACATATTGTTACGCAGCACCCTGCAGTAGCCTGCGGCTATTATAGGAAACGTACAGATAAAAAAAAACAAGTGGAATATTACTCATCGCCCCACAGTGTGCTGCGGTCGTCATAAGTAAAAGTACAAGTAAAAGAAGATAGAATAGTCCAGAAATGTATGTAAATATCATTATTCGTCAAGAATATTCCAGACGACAGTTCGAGAAGGTTCGAGAAGGGGCAAGCAAGTTATATAAGGATGATCCTGATGTCAGTTTTCAGTTCACGAGACCGATATGTGAAGTATCAAATTACTATACACATTAATAAGTATGCATTATTGCCAGCAACTCAGTCGGGTTTCAGAAAAGATCATAGTTGTACTACAGCACTTCTAGACATCACAGATAACTTATTAAAGAATATTGACAATGGTAAAACTGCACTCATCCTCCTGGACTATTAAAAAGCTTTTGACACCATCAATCATGAGATCTTGTTAAGTGTTTTACACTTTTGTGGGTTTTCACCAAATATTGATCTTCTCGGAAATTATCTTCAAAATAGACGGCAGTACGTAGAAACTAATACTGGCTAATCCAATACTAAAATAATTTCTCGAGGAGTGCCACAAGGTTCCATTTTGGGTCCTATCCTCTTTTCTCTTTATTCGGCTAATATTACCAGTTGTCTAGAACACTGCAAGCCATTTTTGTATGCCGACGATACACAATTGATGTATTCTTTTGACCACTTTGATTTTGAAGGAGCACAAGAATTGATAAATTTTGATCTTAATTTACTAGCATCTGAATCAACTAGACACGAACTAACCATTAATCCTTCTAAATCAATCGTGCTCTTCTTTGGAAAGTACCGTCGTCAGATGGAGGAGAGAATCAATATTTCTTTAGCTGGTAATGATATTTCGTATTCGAGAACCGTAAAAAATTTGGGACTAGATCTAGATACTGAATTAAATTTTAAATCGCAAGTGAACAAGTGTTTAAAAAGAGCCTATTCTAACCTTAAAATGTTATATCCTAATCAACATATTTTTCCTGAAAAAACTAAGATTCAGCTCACCGACTCACTAGTGCTTAGTCATTTTAATTACTGCGATAGTGTTTACGGACCTTGTTTAAATAGTACTGAGGAACGCCGAATTCAAAAAGTCCAAAATACCTGTTTGAGGTATGTTTATGGTATTAGAAAGTATGACAGAATATCTCACAAGTTGGCCAGTGCAAAGTGGATCGATATGAAGAGCAAACGTAAACTCCATGCTGTAACTCTCTTCCATAAAATAATCCTTTTTAAAACTCCCCCATACCTCTACCAAAAGATTAAATTCAGAAATGATATACATAATTTAAATGTAAGACATAGTGGCTTGATTTCTCCTCCATTACATCGCACTTCCATCTTCGAGCGATCATTTTCTTTTCAAATATACAATTTATATAATAAAGTTCCCGCAACTATTAAATTATTAAATTTATCAGCCTTTAAAAAGTCGTATAGGAGAATAATTAATTAGACTATAAACCGCTTAGCATTTATGTCATCCTCCTTTGAACAAAATATAATTTTGGAATTTGAGACCTGGTGTGTGTCGAGCGAGTGAAATATATATTTTTTTATATTTTTTATATATTTTTATTTTTATCTCTTACAATTCAAACATTGTAACTTATAGGTATAAAAACCCTTGTTTAGTTTCTACGTTTGCCGCCGTCTTCGGATAGTCTTCAAGTAGAGAGGATATAAGTACTTAAAACGATTTTAATATTTTAATACTTTTGTTAACTCTTGGGGCTATCCGGGGTTTGGCGACTGGCGAACAAAACCATAACCGAGGGCGTCCACTTTGTATCAGTTTTAACTGTCTGGACGTTCTCTTTTTGTATTTGCGTAATTATTTTTTTTTTATTGATGTAATTCTATTGTACACCGTAAATGCAAAATAAATTATTATTATTATTATTATTATTATTTATTATTATTATTATTATTATATGGATACTTTAGGCCCACCAGCATGGTTTTTGAAAATGGAAGAGTAAGGAGAAAAGAGGAAAAGGAAAGGCGTAGGAAGGAAGAAGAGAAAAAGGAAAGGCGTAGGAAAGAAAAAGAGGAGGAAAAGGAAAGGCGTAGTAAGGAAGAAGAGGAGCAAAAGAAAAGTCGTAGGAAGGAAGAAGAAGAGGAGATGGAGGAGACGCGTAGAAAAGAAGCGATTGATATTATGAACGGGTTGCTACAAATCCAGGATACCTTCAAGCAAGAGGTTGGTCAGCTTAAAAATAGAGTAGATCTTTTGGCTCAGCAACAAGAGTTTTAAAAAACTAATGCAGAACAACAACAAGAGAAATTAAAAACTAATTTAGAGCCACAACAAGAGCATCTAAAAAATCATTTAAAACAGCAGCAACAGAATTAAAAAACCAATTTAGAACAACAACAAGAGAATTTAAAACAACAGAAAAAGCAAGAGTAGAGTTAGAAAGGCAAATTTGTGCTGAAATGGTAGAGTTAGAAAGAAGAATTCGTAGCCAAGCTTCGGTAAGTAACATTAAAGCTGAAAACACTACCTTGTCAGCATCCATAACCGAACCAAGCCACATTCGAATCCCAGTTTCACAAAACTATACTAGCAAGACCTTCAAGCCACCCACGCTTGACGGTCAGACAAGATGGGAAACATCGACTTTAATTTGAAGCTGTAGCTAGAGCCAATGGCTGGGTCGAGAAAGAGATAACGTCTTCATTGATAGTGTCACTGCGAGATCAGGCAGCAACCGTTTTACAATTACTTCCTCAAGAGAAATCCAGTTATTTATCTCTCGTCCAAGCTTTGGAGACAAGAAATGGCCAGCAGCATTTATAACAGGTATTCCAAAGCCAGCTAAAAGTTTGTAGTCAGAAATACAATGATAATCTACAAGAATTCAAAGCCGTTATTAAAATATTGCTTCATCTGGCCTAGACATAGGCCCCTAAAGATTTCTTAGAACAAATCGACATACAAGCATTCATTGATGGACTACAGGACGTGGAAATGCTCTTCGGCTACAACACCACAAGCCGTTGAGTGAGACACTTATTGCAGCCCAGGAATACGAAGCAGCAAAAAAGTATATCTAGATCTTCTCGCGCAAAATTGAGAAAAATTCGATTTCAAGAAAGTAAAGAGGTCATTACCAATACTACCCCTTAACCTACCCTCTCACAAATCTTAAATATCCTGCAAAGTATGCAACGAAATAGCCAAAATGAAAGCAGAAGATGCTTCAATTGTGGAAGAATTGGACACCTTCAAAGAACTTGTCGAAGCCGGGCTCGTTCTATAAATCAAAAATCAGGGAATAATACCAGAAATTCACCTAGATCAACCTCCCGAAGCCCGTCACGAAGTCCATCAAGAAATAATTACAAAAGGCCCCAAAATTCGAAATTACACCTTAAATAAAAACGAACAAGATTTACTGGTCAAAAAGTATATCAACAATCAAGAAAGCACCTTCGTCTCAGATACTGGTGCAACCAAGTCTTTCATTCGAACGGGGATCCTGCATCGAAAGCTACGACCAACCCAAAGAAGTTTAGTTCTGGAAACCGCTGTAGGGCACACTACTCCTGTTTTAGGCGAGATATTAGCAACCATACAGATTGGTAATACCCTGATAGAACACTTATTCCTGGTGGCCTATATTAAGGATCAATGCGTCCTTGGTATGGACATTATGCAAAATAAGTTTATCATCAACCTTCAAAATAAGATTTTGGTAATTGGAAACGAGGAAATTGTCCTTAATTTGGAGGAAAACACTCAACCGATAAAAGTCCTAGTGGCAGAAGACATAGAAGTACCACAAAATGCTGAAGCTGTTGTCTCGGCTAGGCTAAGCGAGAAATCACACGGCTTGCGTGTAGGAGTTGTGGAAAGTGAAGAATTTGCGATTAAACTTTTTGAAAATAATTTTTACTGATGCAGGTCTAAATAAAGTATTGTGGATAAATAAGGTAATAAAAACACTTTATTACATTTTTCTTTTTTTATTTGGTTCTTTGGCTGCAAGACCTTCCGGTATATATAGGGTATTCCATTAAGAATTGGAGCAACTGAAGATTAACCGATTAGAAATAAGCCGATTTAACGAAACATCCGTAGGTAAAACATTACTCGTTTCCGAAAAACAGGGTTTTAAAGTTGAAAATCAAAAATTACTCAGTTTAATTTTACTAAATTCGTCAAACATTATTGGTGCAATAAAATACACCTATCAGCAAAAAAATAAGTTAAATACGCTTTGCCAGTAGCGTACGTCATGGGCACGTAACAACTTTTTCCTTCTAAATTTTAGTCCACTGTCCAAAAACTTTTGATGTTTTTCAAATAAAGTTGAGTTAGTTTTTGAGATATTCGCACATATTTGGAAATTCTGAAATTTTTAAATTTCGATTTTTTTTTATTAAATTTCTAAGAAGAGTATATTATTAATTTAAAAAACATTAAAAAATTTAAAATTTTATGTCCAAATAACTTTTTGGATAGTGACGTAAAATTTAGGAAGAATGCGGTATCACGTACCAATGCTGTCGCCACTGGAGAAGTTAATTAAGGTAACTAATTTTTTTGCAGATGGGTGGATAATATGACACCCAACACGTCTGCGAAATTTAGTAAAATTGTTGTGAGTAATAAGAAAAATATAGCCACAAATATTTTTTGGATTTTAACACCGCATTTTGGAAACGAAAAACATTTTATGTAAGCATGATTTGTTTAGTTGTCTTATTTTTAATCAGAGAATCGTCAGTTGTTCCCATTCTTAACGAAACACCATGTATAGTATAATAGGTCCCTACGTAATGATACGAAGACCTTTGTCCTTTGTTGACTGGACATAAGAATGAACTACTAAGTAAATATACCGATATCCTGAATCTAATCCAAAACTTTTATTTAGGTACCTGCTACATCGAAAATATTTGTCACGGTCAAGAACTCGTTTACTTATCATCGAGTAGTGGCTAGGCGTGATGAATTTGTTATTTTAGAGTTAATAAAATTATCATCTGTTGAACAAAAGAACTATTAAATATAGAATATTGCTCCATCTGTTGAACAAAAAGATTCTTAATTTATGACACATAAATTACATCTATCAAAATAAGTTCATGTTACGAATATTGGGGGTGGTAGTATGGCTTTATAATAATACTCTCCCTAATTCACCCCCTTACGAGTGAATTTCAACCCCTGAAGTCGACTAAACGACTTGTGTAGGGGAAGGGACGGCTATTATTATTATTTGCCGTGGCGCTCCGGGGTGACTTAAAGATGATTGATGGTGCCATTTGACTTACAGGTGAGGAAAACCCGGAAAACCTCACCCACCATCATCGAGACGGTAATGTATGGCGAATTTTTTTAATCTGCATGTCATATCAACAGAAATTGAATTTCTATTAATACGCCACACATCAAATCCTAAACCGAACCATGCAATTTAATTAAAAATCCACATGGTCCGGTCTGGGATTCGAAACCCAGCAGTCTCAGACTCATAAACTTGCCTTAAGTACTATATATATGTACCTACTAACTTTAGAATTTTTACGATGAAATCTTTATTGGAAGGTTATAGTAAAAATTAAAATAGTTGTTTAACATGAGACACAACACTTATAACACAATAAGATAAAAAAAATTAAATTAGTGTTTTATAGAAGATATAACCCTATAGTTTTAATAAATTTTATACTAAATTTGATTCGATAGGTAGAGCCATCTTTAGAGTCAGAAACAAGTGAGGAGGTAGGTCCATATTAGGGTCTGATGATCCCGTGTTCAGTTTCCGTTTGTCACGCGCTTGGAGTCATTCACAAAGTGATTTTATATTTACCATCAAAATAAGGACCTCCCATGTTGCGCAACATCCTATCTATAGATAGTGGGTCAATATGAGGTAAAATGTGGTAAAAGTTTCAGAATTAAAAAAATATGTTTAGTTATACCACACCTATTTTTCTTTAGTGACAATATCTGAATGATTTGATATAATAAGTACAAATCAGCGAATCACTCTTTATTATTAATATCATTTACCTCTTGTTAATATCGACGAAACCTTCTTGGGTAACATATATTGATACAATTTTCTGAAAGGATCCACAGTTTTAAAGCTTCTAATAGGGTTTGGTGGGCATCTAGGATTTATAAGGTTACGTTCTATTGCCCAATCTATCCACCGGTATCGTTTCCATGCTTCAAATTCTAAAAAACACAGATTCAACTAATATACTAACGTCAGTGGTAGGTGTACAAATTAATTATAAGTATAGGCAGAAGGTGGGTTTTGCAAGCTGAATGGATAATAAAGAATAAGCTATAACCAGTACGGTTTTATATAGTATTATATATTCCAAAGTAGACAAACTTTTTTTTTTTTAGTAAACGTGACAAGTATATATATTTTATTGACAACTAACAACAGCTAATTACATAAAAATATAAAATATATTATTCTTATAACAGGCATTTACGTAGAATATAAATAATATGGGGCATTATATAGATCCTTGAGATAATGCACATGTTGTTTTACAGCAGCATTCCTATGGTTGGCTTCAAACAGTAAATCGTCATCAATACGACCAACTTTTGAATTTTCACCAGACAGAAAAAACTTATCATCCACATTCAAGAAAAGCTTTACACTTGGAAGATTACATTTGTTTGAAATAAAGTGGAGTTTGCTTCAAATAATATTTCTCGATACAATAAGAAAATAAATGTTTAGTGAAGTGTAGGCATATTCTTGTATTTTAAGATTTATGATAATTAATCTGATAATAAATTTTTTCATTAGAGTCTGGAATTGTTAATTAATCCAAGAAAGCTCTGGCGTTTATTGTACAGTCTGTTCGCTATACTTACGCGGGTTTCGGATTAACAAAATTAGGCAAATTAGTTATTGACAACCAGTTCCAATAAGCCTCTTCCCAAGAAATTAGGTAAAATTGTCCTAATGGTCAGATTTAAATTAAAATAACATTAGGGTAGGTACTAAATTTGTTACAAATATTGCAGTTGAATTGATTCTTTGCAAGTGTTGACATTGTATGTGTATTGTAAATTTAGTAGAAATTTTTAAAATGCCTAGATGTGTGTTAGATGTAGATAGTCTAATTTGTAGTGTACATAAGTATTTTACGGATAAAAAAGAAAATAGCGGTCCTTTAAAATCGGTAATGTCTGTACAACAACGCGTATGCGATGTTAGTGAAACCAAATTAAGATAGTGAAATAGTGAACTGCCGAAAGAAGTAAACTCGCCCATAATTGAAAACGAAAGATATTCCAGATGCAAAGAAATTTGAAATTCGTGATACCATTTATCGAATGAGGGCCAACAAGGAATATGTGACCTTAAATACAATTCTCTCGGAATTAATAGATAGAAAATTTGACGACATTGGCAGAACAAGTCTATGGCAAGTGATATATACCTTGGGATTTAAATTTCAAAAGAAGAATAACAGAAAGGCCCTTTGTGAAAGAAGTTCTGTCGTGCACAAGAGAATTAACTTTCTAAGAAAATATTCTAAATTTAAATAAGAAGGGGCGAATTTTATATATTTAGACGAAACATACCGATGGAGAAGGGAAGCGACACATAATTTTACATGCAGGACGGAAATCGGGTTTTATAGAAGGTGCTGATTTAATATTATCATCTTAATTGCAACTCCAAAAGTGTGGCGGAACTGTATATCCAAGTGCGAGAAACTAATAGAAGATTGGTGGACTCGTGAAAATAAAATAAACGAAATATGTCCAATCATAATAACAATTAATGGTGATGACAGTGATGATGATGACGATTATGATATTTTGGATGATAATGACTGATTTTCATTTTTGTTGGCAAGTTTAATTTTATTACTTTTCATTTGAAATTATCTACATGGAACACATTTTTATGTTAGAAAACATTTTATTTGAGCTAAATAACCCTCTTATTATACATAGACCATATTTTCTATGTAAAGTGTAATATAAAATTATTATTAGGTTTATAATAGCCACATTAAACTCCATTAATGAAGAAGTTTAATTCTGCTCTCAATTATACAAAAGATTCTTTATTATTATTTAATTAAAAAGTTGTACATTATTTTTCATTTTATTTGACCAGTTGATATTTCCCCAAAGTACAGGTCAAACTTTCGGGTACTTACCTGGAAATACTCATAAAATTTTTAGTTCGACACTCGCGTAAGTATAGCGAACAGACTGTAAGTATGATATGCTTTTAAAAACGATTATCGAGTATTTGATTCAATATTATAAAAATATTCGTTTTAAAGCATTTAAATTTTAAAATAATAAACAATTCGAATCAAAAACATATGTACTCCACAAAAGATTAGCGAGTACAAATTCACTGCACGGTGTTGCCAGTTGAAACTTATTTTAAAATGCAACCACTGCACTGGTGCAGTAGATATATGACTATTCGGAAGTCAGAGACACAAAGCATTTATAGAGAATCTGGCAAATTTGCATTAGCATGTGTTCATCCTAATGTCCGTTTTCTAACAAGTTTACGTCGTATCGTTAGGGTTGCGTTCTACTTTTTGTTAGAAATTCTTTGTGATTCAATTAATAAGAGTATGAATAAATTAAATTTAAATGGAAGAGTTGATAGATGGATGGGGCCTCAGCGACCTCATAACAATATTTAAATGTATATTTAGTTCATTTCCTATTAGGTACCTATTGTGATAATATAATAAAATAAATAAGTAAATTTATAATCTTACAAATTTAATAAGCTTACATCTTATTTTATTATGACACAAAATAATAAAGGCCTATTTGCATTAGAAAATATTTACTATAATTATAAAAACAGGTTAGTAAAATATGCAAATTTTATTTACAAAGCTACATTTACTAAAAATATTCATTTTGTAGATACGACCTCTTATCTTAGCAGGACAAACTTTTATGTTCCATTTAGGTTTTGTATTTATAAATTTTTTTTTTAATTATATGTGGGACACCACAGAGGACAGACGAATTTGATACATTAACTAAAAACAATTTTGAAAAATGGTTTTCGGTGGATAGGCACATGTGAGAACCCTATTAAAAAGCAAGAACAGCCTGTTCTCATTTCAAGATTATTAATTTCTTCAATGAAAATATCCTATAATTCAACTAAAATGTATATATTTTTGTCAAAGCCAATATTAAAGTTTCTTAGAACAATTTTTATTATTATTGTAACAAATTTAGTTGTATTGAATTTAAAAACAAGGTATTATTGAATATAATTTATATTAAACTTGCACCAACCGTTAAAATTATTTTTTTATATAATAATTGCTTGATTGAATATAAAATATATTTAAAAAGAGTGTAAGATGTACATAATACTGCAATTGAGCAATAGATACTCTTCATTTAATTAGGGGTATTTTGGTTAAGGTAAGTTATTTGAATCTTGAAGCAAGGCTTATTAGCTATTGTTGAACAAGTATTACTAAAATTTTAAATCGGGACGAGTTTTACTTGCGGATATACAAACACAACAATGCATTGAAATAAGACCATTCATCTTGAATATAGTACACCTTTTTTTGTGCAGTTCATTTAATTTATAAACATAATTAAATTACAAATAAATTTACATACCTTCGTCTGATGACGGCTTTAAGATAGGAACTGTTCTAGTTTGCGTTACCAAGAAGCCATGACTCCAGTTTGAAATGTTATTCTGCAAACTTTTAAAAATATCAAAGCATTAAAGTAAAAAATAAATAGAATTACAGCTTAATTTACCAACAATTCCTTTCAAACGTCCGTATGATACAGGTTAGTAAATTATGATGAATGCCCAGGCATTCTTTCATGAAGTGTTGATTCCTGATAAATATTTTAAAATATCGGGAAGGAACATATGCACAAGATCATGTAACGCTTGAAGAGGCCTGCTATTTTTTCTAGTTTAATATTTGCACCTTAAGTCGTTGATACGTAAGCGAACACTTTATAATTATTAGAATATTATAAGCTAAGCATTTTTCGACTAGTAGTGCAAATAAACCTTGAAGCTTATTATTTACATTAACTGTTCTTCAAGCACTTCGTATATAGTGTAGTGCCAGTCAATCGGAATTATGCTTTTTGTGGGGGACTAAGTGTCACAAGCTGAGTTATTAGTAAACTGAAAACTAATATTTTGGAGATTCTAAAACCGGAGGTAATCCAAAATTAAACCTTGCAGAAGGGCACTATTTTCAAAAAACGAGATATTGGTACCATTGCATAGAGCGTAACGTGTACTATAATATGACCGCAAAATCCAAAAAGTCACTGTACAAGTTAGGTAAATGTATTATTTTAAACATTTAAAAAACCATTGGGGCTTACGGTCCAAAAAAATTAAAATGCGATTTCCTCGATTTTATCTTAAAAAAAAAATTCGAAAAATATTGTACTTTTTATGTTAACACTACGAAATTAGCTACACAAGATTTTAAAACAAAAAAACTTACTCTTTATAAAAGTTTCTAAAATGTGTTTAGATCATAACAAAACATCAACCATATTTTTATGTCTTATAATAATCAACTTATGTTAATTAAAACAATTAAAACGGCTGCCGCGAGATTTCTACACTCTGCTAACGGTGTTATCGCTTTGTATATTTCATCTTCGTTGCACCTATGATTGTAAACATATATCTATCTCTATCGTACTACGAAACTAGCCCGGCTCATAATATTATCACCACAACGGGAAACAATCTTAATTATTTTTGTAAATAAACTATTGTACTTCTGATATGTTTTTTACAGATGTCCCAAATTGTATAGTTCCAATTGAAACAGTTTATAGATTTCATAATTTTAAGCCAAAAAGTTCATATTAACATGTAAACATTAATCAAAATTCGATCAAAAGTCAAGTGATGTAAAAGTTAGATAACTAAAGCCATATTCGAGCGGTCTCTTTGGTTTAAAAATATTATCAACTACTTTTAGAACCAATTTTAATACTACGATAGATTTTGAAAGCGCTCAAATAGTTAATTTTAAAACAGTGATGTCACTAACAGTTAAGGATTTGTAAGTGTGTAAATCTCTAGCGACAGATAATTTTTTGCCTCAAAAAAGCTCATATATTGGGTCCTATGATTGAATGTTTACGTTATCCGTAACGTAAATGTTAAGCCGAATTTTAAAAGTAACGGGCAAGTTCGTAAGATGGAAAACTGTTAAATTAGAACATGACAGGCGGAAAATAACAGTAATGGGTTGGAAGAAGTTTTCCATTATACGAACTTGCCTTGTTACTGTTAAAACTCAGCCTAACATGTACGTTACGGATAACGTAAACGTTCAATCATAGAACACATTACCAGAGTTTTATGAAAAATGGATCGTTATATTTAGAATTCGACTTTAACCAGGTAAAGTTTTTAAAAATACTAAAAATTATAAACCTTCATAATTATGCATTTTCTATTTTTTCTTACAACCGTAATATAAAAAATCTTTTTTGATAATTAATTTTAATGCATGATCTTCGCTACTATTTTTGACATGAATGACATTTTATTTCCTTGAACCGTTCTCAATGAAACGTTTCAAAAACAGATGCAGCTGGTTTAAACCTATTTCAACGTGACGTCATTGTTTGGTCACTCGAATGGGAATATTTCAAACCGTTTTCGAACCGCATGAAATATATTTAAATTAGTAGACCGCTCGAATATGGCTTAATTAAAAAATCAAGAAAATGTCAAATATGACAAGTGGCGTGCAACTGAAAATGTATCATTTCTATCAATTTTAAACCACCAGTAACTTTGCTAAGTATGGAAATCGGACCATTGTTAATAATAACCTGTTTGTTTAAAATTATGAGACGTTTAACCTGTCTCCGTTTTATATAATTGGGGATACTCTGTATACAAGACCTATGAAATAGGGGTCTCAAATAAATTTATTATTAGTAATATTACCTACTAAATATTGAAAAAAAAAAAAATGTGCCAGGAGTAAAATTACAAGGAACAAATATCTGACACTAAAAGAGCCCTTCCTCAACTTTAATAATTATATCTCTTTAAAGAGCATGGATAATTATATTTTTTTATTAGAAATACCACAACTTAGAATCTTGTTTAAAAATCGTATTAAATATTCTCCTTGTCTTCTGATTCTTCGCTGTCCTCTTCAAAACCTGGCTTTGGTTAAGAATTGAACCAAATCTTGGTTTGGTAAAAAGCCTAAGGGATCGTCTGTTGAAGGCAGTGTTGGATTGGGACCCATAGGCCATACCTGTTCAGGAGGGAGAAGGGCCCACCTATACATTTGTTTTCATGGCCAGGTTCATTGTAAAGAAGGTCTTCTTTGTACACTGATGCTTTTTCCGTGGATGCCACGTATTACGGGATTTTCTTTAATCTTTTCAAAGGCCCACTGCTTAAATGAAGGCCTACCGGTCTTATGACCGGTAGACCGACGGCAGACGACTCAATCCGACACTAGTTGGGGGTAGCCTAGATAGCTCTATTGAAGGGGCCATTAAACCTCTTAATACATTAAGAGAAAGAACAACAACAAATATAATTTTTTTACAAATTTTTTAATAGTATTAAACAGATCTTCGGAATTAAATCTTTTCTACCATTCCAGTAAATTGACTCTTTGTATCGCATCCTGTTAAAGTATATAAAGAAGGTAGGTTGTTCGTTAGACTGTCGTTAAGGGCTATTTCAAAAACTGCCACGTAACCAGTAAAATTTATGATTCAGTCTTTTAACTAAATTTCACGAGGAAGAAAGTTTTTAAAATACACCAAAATAATAGGCACATCGGTATTGTTAGAGTCAATAACGCATGTAGAAAAACCTTCCGTTTTAGCACAGAGTACATGAAGTAGAATTCTAGCTTCTTCATGGTTTGGTTCTAATAGTTATCGATTTTCTTTTCAAATATCAATATTGAATTTAAAGTCTGGAATGTTATTAAATCCGTCACTCGTTACAAATTGTATCTTATAATCATGGAATCCGTAATCAAGAAATTCGTTTAATAAAATATTGGTTAACTGTTTATTATTAAATATTCAGTGAATAAATAAATTCCATTGTTGTGGAAACGGGATCTCTCAATTAGTAATAATCGTATTAATTGATTGTGAAGATCCTCTTTCTTTGACGAGTAACAACATCTTTAATCAAATTTTCTGTGTAATGATTAAAAACAATGTCAATATGTTGTTAATCGAATTAAATTACGGGTTTTGAGCTTACATTAAATTGTAATTAAATGAAACAAAATGGATTCTATGTATTTTGAGGTGATCTTTTCGAAAAAAGGCAAAACAAAATGTAGCAGTTTTTCGAAAGTGCCGAAATGTTGGATTTTGTCAATTTTTCAATTTTGCGCAGGCGCATGTCGGAAATAAATCAATATTTTTAAAAATCAGTTTACGAAATCTTAGGAAAAATGCTAATTTTTATATCTCTTGAGAAATTTTGATCCGATGCACCGTTCTCGCGGTATGGACGAATGAAATTTGTTTAGTATTTTGAGGCGACGAAGGTCGAAAAATTGAATTTGATAAATGTTCAAACACTAAATTCTTTATAACATTGGTAAAAATTAAGATATTTGAAAAAACAAAAATGCGTTTTGAACTTAAGGGATGTTACTAGTAGTTACCAGAAGAAGGCAAAAGAAATCCCAAAATTGGGCATATAGCGGAAGGGCAAAATGCACCGCGGTCCTAATTTCATTGTTTGCCTATAACGGCCAAACTATTTGAATTTTTTTAATGCCACTTACAAAGCTTACTCTTAAATGTAAAATTTCACCGACATCGTACCATAATCGGCTAAGATATCAAACAATTAAATTTTTTTTCGAAAGTTTGAAGTGGCACAAAAATGCAAAAATGCACCCAATAGCTCAAAACTTTTTTTTTTGAGTACTCTATTGTGTCTAAAATACGATTACATTACGGAAAATTCTGCAAATATATTTTATCTATTTTTTTGACCACTGTTCATTGAGTGACGACCAAAAAAACACGGTTTTTGAGAAAAGTTGCCTAAAATTGACAATTTTTAGTTTTTTGTCTGAAAATTAAACAAACCCAAATTTCTTGTCTTCTAAATGTGTATACAAAGTTTAAAGTGTGTATGTTTCTTCTAAGTTGTAGAATTCTCCCGACAAAAGTCCCATTACACGCGCTCCGCGGGATCCAAAACTCGTGTATACACTACATTACTATAATTTGATTTTTTGGCGATTTCCAGTTTTAAATTTCTTGCATATCCAAATTTATGAGGCTTAAAATTTATTAAATTGTATTTTACTGACTTGTTATAAGACGTTTCTTGAGTTTTGTGCAAAATATAGAATTACCAGATATTAGCTAACAAAAAGCAAGCTTATCACCAAGTTGGAACTTACACTCAGGCTTAGGATTAATTTCCTAACATTTTTAAAGTATACCTTTTTGTGTATTTTTTTGTGCTCTTTTCGATGGCGAAGTTAGTTTTTTCAAATATATTTATTTTGTTAGATGTTTTCGGAAAACCCAGAAAAAATCACATGTAAAAAAAATTAAAAAAAAACTACGCCTCTGGTTTCCTGCGAATTCCCGAAAAATTATGTCAGATTTCACCGCGGGACTTATTTTATTTGAGAGCCAACAAAAAAATACGCAACTTCTCTCATGGGCACATATGTCTAACATTTATAATTTCGCCACAAATTCATCGCAAATTTCATGTCCATGGTTCTGATAAAAAAAAACGAAAAAACGACTTTTTGGTAAAAGCACTTCTGGCAGCGAGAAATTCGCCATTAAAACTACCTGTGCAATGAATTTCCGAACTATTTTTGCCTCCTCTTTCGAATGGTGCATTTATTTTCACTATCGGAATGATACTTGCCCAGATAATTAGCATTTTTGCAATGGAAAATTCCGGAAAACCCGGTTTTTCCTAATTTAAAAAAAATTGAAAAACTGCTACATCTTTTTTTATTTTTTTCGGAAAGATCACATCAAAATACACAAGGTCCTTTTTGTTTCATCCAATTACAAATTAATGTAAGCTCTAAGGGGCTTTTTTTCGTTATTTATTTGGACTATGTGCTTTATATTTGATTTGAAATAAAATTTTTGAAAATATATCAGAATATTCCTTAAATCAAAATACAAGTGAAGATTCCAAAAATAAATAAAAGGTCGACCAAAAATCGGTAGATTTTGAAGAGTTCAGCGAAGCATCGGCAGATGAGGAGAAAATATAATACGATTATTACACAAGATTGTAAGTTGTAGTTTTTTTTTTAAAAATATGAATATCCATGCTCTTTACTTAAAGAAATATAATTATTAAGTTGAGGGAGGGCTCTTTCAGTGATAGATATTTTTACATTCTAATTTTACTCATGACAATAATTTTTTTATCAATATTTAACAGGTATTACATTATACAAGGTGTCCCAAATTATATAAAACGGAGATAATTTTAAGGAAAATGATTCATATTAACAATGGTCTGATTTCCATCAGTAGCAAAGTTACTGGTGGTTTAAAACTGATAGGAACGATACATTTTCAGCTGCTCGCCACTTGTGAAATTTGGTATTTTCTTGGTTTTTTATTTAGTTATATAACTTTTACATCTCTTGACTTTTGATCGAATTTTGATCAATGTTTGCATGTTACGTGTTAATATGAACTTTTTATTTACAATTATGAAATCTATAAACTGTTTCAATTGGATCTGTACAATTTGGGACATCTGTAAAAACATATCAGAAGTACAATAGTTTATTTACAAAAATAATTAAGATTGTTTCCCGTTGTGGTGATAATATTATGAGTCGGGCTAGTTTCGTAGTACGATATATTTACAATCATAGGTGCAACGAAGATGGAATATACAAAGCAATAACACCGTTAGCAGAGTAGAAATCTCGCGGCAGCCGTTTTAATTGTTTTGTTTTATAATAATTAACATAAGTTGATTATTATAAGACATAAAAATATGGTTGATGTTTTGTTATGATCTAAACACATTTTAGAAACGTTTATAAAGAGTAACTTTTTTTGTTTCAAAATCTTGTTTAGCTAATTTCGTAGTGTTAACATAAAAAGTACAATATTTTTCGCAATTTTTTATTAAGATAAAACCGAGGAAATCGCATTTTAATTATTTTTGGGCCGTAAACCCCAATGGTTTTTTAAATGTTTAAAATAATACATTTACCTAATTTGTAAAGTGACTTTTTGGATTTTGCGGTCATATTGTAGTACAAGTTACGCTCTATGCAATGGTACCAACATCTCGTTTTTTGAAAATAGTGCCCTTCTGCAAGGTCTAATTTTGGATTACCTCCGGTTTTAGAATTTCCAAAATATTAGTTTTCAATTCACTAACAATTCAGCTTGTGATACTTAGTCCCCTACATAATTCATTTCTAGAGCAGTTTTGTTACAAATAGCACCATACTAATAATGGTATCCCACCTTGTATTAATTCTATGACATAAGTTTGATGCCATTATTACAGAAAAAAAAAAAGAAACGAAATTTGCATACTCATCAACATCAAGACGTATTCCCACAACAACAACAAATCGATTCTTGTTAATTGACTCTTCCTTGGGTTTCACTTGCATGTACGTTTTCTTTTGTTGTTGGGCCGCAGGTCGTGGCTCTGCTTTTAGATTCTTTTTGCTTGTCATAGTTTTAAAACCACCTTTAAGAACAACTGTTGATTGATGTTTCTCGTTAGTTAGATAATTTATTTCTTCTGTGTTTGGCGTCCAATTGTACTGAAAGGTGTGATCCATGCATGTTTGCCAAACGTCCAACGGATCGAGACCTAAAAATAAAATAATTTATACGGGTAAGAAATACCTTGAATCCAGTCATACATAAATAGTTTTCATTAACGGTAAAAGACAACCGGTTTTGGCATTAAGCGATCATCAGGTCTACTATTAGAGAAGAAAAAAGATGGAAAATAATGAAATATATATAAAAATTATAGTGAAAGTGAAAATCGCATTGAAAAGCAAAAAATACATAATTTAAAAGGTTGTTACCGAACAACAATTTAGGTAGGGTAGTTTCAACGAGGGGCAAACCGCTGAGGAAGTCTGGTGTACAGACTCAAGAAAGTCCCTTGGAAATAAATGGAAGTCCATGGAAATTCTTGTAAGTTAGTGAGAAGTCTTGAAAGTCAGGAGGAAGTCCATAGAAGTCATGATGAAGTCCATGGAAGTCATGATGAAGTATATAAAAGTCATGTGAAGTCATGAAAGTGCGCATGCGCCTCGGTCATCAGGAGTGGCACTCCGTATCAAATTGCAATGAAGAGAACGAAAGAGAAAGGGAAGAGAAAAAATCTCCTCTCTTTTTTTCCGTATCGAAATTTGTACTCTGTAGCAATTTCTTTATTTAATTCGGAGTGAATCGGGATTTTTCGTCGCGAAGAGAAATTTCTAAAATAACGAACTACTCGTCCTAAAACTGTTGACTTCACTTCTATTTGACACATTAAATAAAAAAAGAAACCCAATTTTTAACATAAATTTGGATTTGTTTTAAACGAGGAATTTCTAAAAATAGTATTACGCTATTGATTATTCTGGATCAAAGTTCATTTTCGACTGCTTTTTAATATTTTTATTTACCACTAATTCAAAGCAGAGAAAAGTGGAGAAAATAAAAGTGATTTCAGATTATACCACCTTTTATTTAATGAAAACAAGTTTATAATTTATGTAATTTGTATATAATAGTTATATTTTAACTTTAAGATAAATCCTGTCATAAGACATGTGATGCAAGAAGCCCAAAATGATCAACAAAAATATGAACTATGCATTGCTAAGAGGGTAATGAGGGATGCAAGTGATCCGTTCGGCCTTCCTCATGTTAGATTCAAAGAATTATTTAGACTAAATAAAGATTTAGTTCAGAATTTGTTTATTGATTAATTACAAACTGACAATCCACATAAAAATAAAGTAAACTTAAAATGTCAAAACAAAACTGCCAAATCAAGTTCTTAATATAAACAAAGAAAGAGTTATACCCCTTCCATACATTAAAGCGAGACATATTCCTAAGCGACGGGGTCGCGATCTCTTTCCCAGTGACAATCGTACATGTTCGGTTTAATCGTAAGTAGTCGAAGAGAGTTACAGAGTAGAAAAACGTCAAAAGAAGTCGGAATAGAGAAAAGATCTCTTGCCTTTCTCATATTTCTAGTTACGGAGTGCCGCTCCAGGTGACTAAAATTATGTGGTGGCATGGGCGTACGCAGAAAATTATTATTTAAGTATATTATATAAACATACACTAAGGAAAAAATAAATATAGAAGGGAGCACAATAATTTAAACAAAATTAACCTTATTTTAATATTATATCTTTATCAAAGAAGGGGACTCTGGGATATATGTATTTATTCAACTATAAATAATTACTGCTAATAGTTATTGTATAACTATACCTAACATTAATTTTTTGTAGGTACCTTTTACTCAATTTATTTTGCTTTAATACGAAAAGAATTGTTTACATTTAAAAAAAAATAATATATCAATTTCCAAAGTCTAAAGGTACAAAACAGAACAACTTTAAAGTGAAACACAATCGATATACAGGGTGTCCAACTTAAAGTCTTGCCACCCACAATATGCAGGGTGTCTGCAAAAGGTATTTACAAAAACATACCACATAGGTCCCTTTACACCACAGGTGATTAAGAAATAAGCCAAGCTTCAAATGACATTTTTCCATTAACAATGTCATTTTAACCTTCGCTTATTTTTTAATTACTAGTGGTGCGAATGGCTCTTATTTCTTGAACCAAAATAAGCCGATTTAAGTAAACTTACCTAGTACAAAGTTCGTTTCTCCTTTATAATTTTAAAACGGCTCATTCGATTCTGCTTAAATTTATTATGTTGCTAGTTTTATTTGACAAAAAAAAAATGTATCAAAATTATTCACTAATATTAATCCATTGGCGTAGAACTTGAATTTTTTTATTATTCGCACATTTAAAATATAATAATTTAGAGTGTAGGCTTTAGAGAAAAATTTATTTACTAAAACATGAATACAAATAAGAAATATGACTAGTGACCAAACTGAGCAACTTTGTACTGGGTTAAATTTACTTAAATCGGCTTATTTTGGTCCAAGGAATTTGTAGTATGTTTTTCTAAAGACCTTTAATAGACACTGTATATTCTTTCCAGTAAATAGTATGAAAAATCGAAAAGATATAGTAATCTTATTTTCAAAGAGGACACTTTTAATGAATATTTTTAGCCTTCATGGTTTAAACCCCTAGAATTTAGAACATTCAGCAGCATGACTATTAATTGGGTTAATTTTTATTTAGGCGCCCTCTAGCGGGATAAAAAAACTTACGTACTGTAAAGTGTAGCACTTTATTTGAAAGCTATTTTGATAGGAATTTTTTTCACAATATAACAAAACATAATTTTTTTAATATTACCTACATGAACTCTAATAATTGAAAAATCGTGCAGATTTCTAACTTCGGACATACAAATTATAATCTCAATGAACAAAAATAATAAATTTACGCTATACATAAATCGCTAATAAAAATATCGTTTAAATGAAGTGTCACACTTTACAAAACGTAACAGTTTTGTATCCATTTAGAGGGCGCTAAAAAAATCAACGCAATTAATAGTCATATTGCTGAATTCTCCATAAAATTACCATTCAAATGAAGGACAGACACATACTCTGACCAAATGAAAAAATCGTGGGCTTCGGTATGGTTATAACCTCCCACTTTAGCATTCCAGAGTATCGATTGACAGTAGACGTTACTTTTAGTGTCGCCTTATATAATTTATTATTAATTGAATTATCACATTTTGTCAATTTTGTTTAAAATAAATTTCTGCTGTATCTACTTTAATAAAAAAAATTAGTAAGGATAAATACAACCTTTATTTTAGCTAAAAAAGTGTAAGTGACCTCTTCTTAGATAAACCCTCTGAGTGTAAACCCTTAGTTGTATAATCAGAAACCTAGCGGTTCTGTTAATTTCACATCCTCATCTACGTAGACGTGGACTTTGTAATATACCCTTCCACATAACTAAATATCGTTTATACTTTAGGGTCTATGATGGTTTAAGCTTTGAATTATTAAACTGATCAAATAAAGCAGAATTAAACGAAGCAATTCTTTAGTTAGGTATTTATATTGTTCTGCTGAAAGTTTGTGGAAATCATTGGAAGTAATCCTGAAGTCAGGTGAAGTCATCTGGAAGTCAGTTGAAGTCACCAGGAAGTCAGGTTAGTCAGTGGAAGTCATTTGGAAGTCATTGGAGTCATTTTTAAATCAGAGAAGTCATCTGGAAGTCCAAGAAAGTCCATAGAAGTCCGTAGAAGTCCACGGAAAGTAAGTAGAAGGCATGGAAGTTTGAAAGCCCAGTGTACAAAATTTTGGTAGCGGTTTACCCCTCGTTTTAAGATACAGTCGGCAACATATGGGAAAAGTAACAAATTTAAAAATGAACTCTACACTGGGAAAATGGTTCCAATAATAATTATCAAATATTAGATGAAACTTAAAAATTATATTTCTGCCTCGTCTCGTAAATAAGATATATTGTCGACCCCTGTATATGCTTCGATTCAACCACATAGTTGAAAGCTGGAACTATTTGATATATTCCTTCTCCACCAATTCCCTCATCCCGACACTTTCCTTCAGTCTTTGTTTATGTGCCGTAAAGATCACATCTATTTTATATTTCCTAGTAAATTCAAAAACAAAGAGTACCGATGACTAATCCTCAAAATGAACATTAAAAAAAAAGTCGATACAGCGTTCTCCTCGTTTCGAACGTGTTGTATAGATGGTTTAGCCAGACATTCTCTGTTATTGTTATTGTACTTTTACTTATGACGACCACAGCACACTGTAGGGCGATAAGTAACATCTCACTTCATTTTCTATTTGTACGTTTCCTATAATAGCCGCAGACTACTGCAGGGTGCTGCGTAACATTGCTTCCCCTCTCTAGTTATTCGCCCCGAATTACTTGATTACTGGGACCTAGTTGAAACTAATGAAGAAGATCTGGACTATGGAATGGAACTATCTTCTCACGCCTATCGATTCTAGCTTCTGCTTTATCGGTGTGGGCTTTTAGTCGTTCCCAAACAAATCCATAGACCTTTTTCCTGCCATTGCATACATCACATTTTTTTACACCAATCCGCTACATCCGGAAATTGACCCAATAACATCTTTCTGTCCTTTTAGTATCAAAGTGTCCTCCTGAACGGTTGCTGTGAAGCTCCTCTAATACTTTTCTCACCTGTGACCTCGGCAGTATCACTTGGCGGACTAATGTACTCCATTGGGGCTCTCCCACTTCCGGTGCAATAAGCCATCGTAAAGATACAGGGAATCCCACTGGGTCCAGTAGCCGTTTATGGTTCTACTGTATTTGGCTATCTCCTGCCAAGTAGGTGTGACTTTATTTTTGAGCCATTCTCGGACAACCTTTAAATCATTGTCTTTCTTCTGTCTCTGTCTCAGACTTTCAAAGGTGATTTCTTCTTCGTCGCCCTCTGGCTTGATAGTGGTAGACCGAAGAGTAACTGTATCTACCGGTTCGTCTTTTTCTTCGAGCCTTTTACCATACCAGCATTGTTCGTCTAAACGGGGTTGCCCGAAGAGAATGTCTGAGTTGCTATGGATACATCTTCGATGCTCTACTTTCTGGTTATTATTAGAAAGCCGGCTTGGTGTGGGTGATTGGCTTCTTCGGGACGCAAAGCTGCTGTAATTAATTCTTGTTGGTCTTAGT